CCCACCCAAGATTTATCATTTACCATATTTTCCTTCCCTGTTGTCAAGAAGGGATTATTTGAGTTTTCACCTCCAGTAGCAGAATATCATATGTTTTACCCATGACAATGCAGCATTAAAAATTTCACAGCTTTGATTCTCTCATGTAGCGAATACATCCAAGACATTGAGAATTCTGACATTTATAAGGATAAGATTAATTAAGAAAGAAGAATCTCAAGAAATACAGTGAATGCTAGCCATTTGGAGATATGATAAGGAAAGGGCAATGAGAGCTAGCTTAGACAAGCTAATTATACTGGAACCGTAGCTTTGGCCCAAACCTTGTATATTTATTTTAAAAGAATTCACTAATTAAGTACAAATAACCCCAGTAAATCAAATGCGTTGTGATGGAATCCCAATATCTGAACACATAAAGTTCAAATTATAAATCTGTCTGTATCCACAAGTAAGGACAATTAGGAATGAGTTTAAGTTATATGCACTGACAATGCAAAAAAAAGATCACTTATTAAGTAATTACATGTAAATCTCTTGACAATGGTAGTTGCTATCACGAGTTAATATATTGATAGTAAGAAAGAATCTTTACGTTGTCAGTACATATAACTTAAATCCATTTAGAATTTTCAGCAAAGCAATGACAAAAACAACTAGGAAATTGACAAATTGAGGATGCAAAATTGAAAGTACCTTGTTAGAAGGTGTGTTAGTAATAGAATGTATTTGTGAAGGTTTAATTACAGCAGTATGATTCTTCAACAGCTCAGGATAAGCAAACGCCTGCACATAACAATTAAGAAGAAAGTAGAAATAGAATTATCAAATGCATGAAATTTAGGTAAAATAGTTCATTTCTTTTAAGAAACTAAATGAATTTTAGTAGACTTACAGAGGTGGTGGTGGTTGTGGCGGTGTTATCGGGGACAGGAGAAGGAGGGTTTTGGTATCCACAACGAAAAGAGCCACATGTTTGAACTAACATCTTTTTTGCTGCTTTCTTCAGCTTCCCTGAATACGACGACGATGATGATTCTCCGGCCATACCCATTACCGGCGACTTAATATTCCTGTAAAATCCACTGTGCGTGTGTGTGAATTTCACAACAGTGAAAAGCTATAGCCATTAACGGTAGACAGAGCGAGTGAAAACAGACACACACACACAGAGTCACACAGATTCTCCGGCCATACTCATACCAGAAACCACCTCTAGTTCACTGTGTGTGTGTGTGTGTGTGTGAATTGAGTGAAATACACAACACTGAAAAGCTATAAGCCAGTAATGGTAGAAAGCGAGAGTGAAGACAGAGATAAACACAGTCACACAGATTCTCCGGCCATACCCATTACCGGAAAGGTGGAAACCACCTATAGTTCACTGTGTGTGTGTGAATTGAGTGAAATACACAACACTGAAAAGCCTTAAGCTAGTAACGGTAGACAGAGAGAGTGAAAACAGGCACACACACAGAGAGTCACACAGATTCTCCGGCGACACTCATTACCGGAAACCACCTATAATTCACTGTGTGTGTGTGTGTGTGTGAATTGAGTGAAATACACAACACTGAAAAGCTATAGCCAGTAACTGTAGAAAGAGGAGAAACACACAAAATAAGTAAAGGCTTAAAATTCGGAATGGCTGCCAGTTATATATCAATAATGGGGCCAACGCAGTGGCTGGTCCTTTACTTTACTGTCTCTCTGAATTTGCTGCTTTTGTGTTTTCTGTCCCCATTTCCCTCTCTCCCTCTCTCTCTCTCTCCCTCTCTCTCCCTCCCTCTCTCTCCCTCCCTCTCTCTCCCTCTCTCCCTCTCCCTCTCTCCCTCTCCCTATCTCTCTCCCTAATTCCAGTAATGTAGAGCAAAGGAAAATGGAGCATCAATTCCACCATTGACATCCATTAAAAAGCTTTAAAGCTTTGAATTAGAATTTGGGTTTTCAAAAAATATTATTTGTTTGAATTGGGTATTGTTGCAAACAATTAGGAATTCTCTNGTTTTTGGTCACTGTTCAGTCCATACTCCTCCCTCGAGATTTTGGCCTTCATTATTTTTTTCATTTTTCTTTTTTTCTTTTCTATTTTATTGAGTAGTAGTACCCCACGTTTTTCCTTTTGCACTTTTACTTTTGTCCAAGCGCGCTCAATTTCATATTTCTTTTAACTTCACATTTTCGAGGGGATATGACACTTAATAGGAAGATGTGGAGGTCGAGTATTAGGATTGTAGGTTAGAAAGTAATTGGGTCTTGCATTAGTTCGTTTCGTTGCTAGAGTAATCTTGTAGGGTTTTGTGTAGGTAACGAGTGGCAATGTCGTGTCTTTCTATTTCTCTTTTAATGCCGGACCTATTTACAAGTTATCGCTTTTGTTTCGTAGCTTTCTTCTGAATTTTATGTTGTTCCTGTTTCTCTTACATTTTCTTATGATTTCTGTGATAATATTGATATTATCTCCTTTTGTCTTTTTATCTTCTTGAGCCGAGGGTCTTTCGGAAACAGCCTTTGTACCCCTTCGGGTAGGGATAAGGTCTACGTACATACTACCCTCCTCAGACCCCACTAGTGGTATTTCACTAGGTTGTTGTTGTTGTTGTTGTTGTTTAACTTCCTTCTACTCCCTTCGTTTCAAAATTAGACAAGGTAATTTCTTTTTTAGTCTGTTTCAGAATAAATGATATCAACAACAACAATAATAGCAACAATCCAGTAAAATTCCACAAATGGGGTCTGGGGAGAGTAGAGTGTACGCAGAGCTTACCTTTGCCCCGGAGGGATAAATCTAAAAATAATTACTTTAAACTCTTCATTTATCCTTAATGAAAAGCTTTTGTAATCATACAAATGTCATGATCCTACAAATCTTTTACCCCTTAAGCTTTTAAGAACACAAGTTTCAAAAGTCTTTTTTTCTCTTAAATTCCATGTCGAGTCAAACTACCTAATCTAAATTGAAACAGAGGGAGTATTTTTTAAGAGGGAAAATGGTAAAAAAAAAATATTTTAATTTTATCACCATTAATAATTTGCATTAGCAAATAGTCTTTGTTTTTTTCTGGATACTTTCGGAGCTTCAACCTGAACTGTAATGAAGGATTACTTTCGCCCCGTCTCTTCACAAAGGGAATTTCTTTTTCCTTAAAAAAAGAATTTCAAAAATGTGTTTGTCAATGAAATTTTATATTTTTTTAAAAAAAATTGAAAATGAGTTTTAAAAAACTAAAAAATAATTTTGACCATTTTTTTAAAATTTTCAGAAAAAAAAATATTCTCTCACAAAATTGCAATATCTTTTCTAAAATGAAATGCATGTCCTGACATAATTTCAAATTTTAAATACTATTTTCAACTTAACTCCTAATATTTTTTTGTCAAAAATTATAATTTTTACGTCCAAACGCCTGCTTAAAAGCATCTTTAGTAGAGGGGTGATTTTGGTGTCTTTTTGACACATAAAATATATCCGGTTCACGTTGGAACCCATTTAATATAAGAATAAGAGGGTGGTTGGCGAAGTTTATAAGCTGGTCAAACTAGTTTATTAGCATTTTTCGGTTTATCTACGCGTTTGGTAAAGTTAAAAGTGTTTATAAGCCAAGTGTTTATAAGTCAAAAATAAGTCAAAAGCCATAAGTTGGTCTTCCCCAGCTTATGAACTTTTAGCTTATAAGCACTTTAAGTTTGACCAATTTTTTTACTATTTTACCCTTAAAATATTTCATTTTAGAATAAAACTCCCACATCGATACTCACTGCCTCAAATAATTTAATTTGTCCTATTTAGGTTTGTTGAGAAACTTTTGTCAATTTATTAATTATTACACCTTATGATTATATACTATCCTAAAATAAATTATTTTATCTAAGCATAGATATATTTAAAATAAAATGACAAATAGAATATTTTGTATTTGAATCAATCTGGAATCTAAAATTTTACAGAAATTACGCCTTTATAAGTGTAAACAATTCTAAGGTTATTTAAGTTATTTTAATAGAAAAAGAGCTTATGAGCACTTTTTTATCAAATACTGTAGCAACTTATTATCAATTTCAGCACTTATACCCAAACACGTAACTACTTATTTATTAAATTAATTTCAGCACTTAAAAATGCTTTTTAGCACATAATACTTACCAGCTATTTCAAATCAGCTAATCCAAACGGGCTCTAAATACGACTTATTTTGCTAACAAGTAAGAATATGAATTGCCTAAAATACCACGGTAGTCGGCACTACGTTTAAAATAGTTTGTATAGTAAAAGGGTAAATATGGACACTTTTCCATTCTACAGTAATGCTCTCACCTTTAAATAAAAAATAAAAAAAATTAGCTTTCTTCTATGCTTCAATTATTGAAGTAATGGACTAAGAGAGTGTTTGGCTAAGCTTATAAGCTGGTCAAACTGATTTATAAATACTTTTTGGCTTATCTACGCGTTTGGTAAAATTAAAAGTACTTATAATTTAAGTGCTTATAAGCCAAAAATAAGCCAAAAGTCATAAGTTGGTCTCCCCCAACTTATCAAATTTCAGCTTATAAGCACTTTAGGTTTGACCAAAATATTTACTATTATATCCCTAAAATACTTCTTTTTAAATAAAACTCTTCGTATACCCAGTTTTTTAGCTGCTTATTATTAACTTCAGCACTTTTATCCAAACACGTAACTGCTTATTTTTTAAATCAATTTCAGCACCTAAAAATATTTTTCAGCACATAATGCTTATCAGTTACGCCAAACGGGCTCTAATACTAGTGACAATTATTATCATAGAAATGTGATAAGGATCTCGAAGTTTTAAAAAGATAAAAAGAGCATGCAATTACAAATAAATTTTTGACTAATATATGTACATTTAGAACGTCATTTTCTATTGGGTTGTTATGAATGACTCCAATTGTATATCTCGAAATCTCTTTTTAGGGACCACAAATCTTTACCAAAAGAAAAGCTCGATCTTGTTTTTCTATAATCGAGAAATTCACATAACGATTTGAAACTCGGTGGATAATAGATTATTTTTCTCCGTTTTTATTTAAGTATTAAACTTTTGTTACTGATAATATTTAATTCTACGACATACATTTAAGCCACGCATCACAAGGTATGCTCTTACCACTAAACTAAATCGTGAGAGGCGACAAACTTGCTTTTTGCCAATTTTTTTTTTCATTTTCTATCCGATGTTTGATACTCACATTGAGGCTCGACGAAATCTTGATTCGCTTCAGGAAGTCTCATATTGGGAATTGTAGTATTCCCTAATAAAGTCAACTTCATATCCAAGGCTCGAATTCGAAACTTCTAGATAAGAATGGAATAATTACCACTCCACCACAATACTTGCTCATTTTCCAAAACCTTATGAAACATTGTGCTGAACAATATATAAATAAGTACTCCCTCCAGTTCAAAATAAGTGATTTTTTGGATGTTTTTACACAGATTAAGAAATCCACCTTTTAACATTAATTAGCAATGGAATTGACCATATTAACCTTTACTATCTCACATAAATACTCCTAACACATATTCCAACATTATTTACTCCAAGGACAATATAGGGAAAAAATAATTAATTCATTCTTGAAATCTGGAAAAATCACTTATTTTGGACCACAAGAAAAAGACCAAAAAATCACTTATTTTGGACCCGAGGAAGTAATTGATTTTATGGATATCTATTGATTTATAGAATTGTGGATAATAGCCAATTAAACTTCACCGGAGAGCTAGGACCATACTAGATAAAATTTGTGGTCATATTGAATCCACGGACCATAGCCCTAATATTTTATTTGAATATGTTATACTTGTATAGTTTATTAATTTTTTTTTTAAAAAGAAGGAATTATTGTACCTTATCATTGTTCTCTTTATGCGGCTCACTATATAACATCATCTAGATTTCAAATAACAAATGACATTGATCAATACAAAAGAATACAACTTACTAACGAGTATTTTGAAATTTAAAAGTCTGTTACAAAATTTACATACTACTCTATACTAGGACAAAATTGACGTTTAACTTATATACACTGACAATTTTAGGTAATTCTTTATATAAAAGAGTTATATACAAAAAGATATCGGCAAGTAACTCTGTATGAAAAGTGAGATTTGCTATTTTGAAAATAAGGTAAATTGCCTATTATAACATATAAGAATGATATGATAGTGTAATATATATATATATATATATATCTATATAAAGTACATTGAAAGGACCAAAGGAAGTACAAAAAAGAAAGTTAAAAATAAATAGGCGCAAAGGCTGGATAGTTAAGAAAAACGAAAAAGATTGATTAAAACGAAAAGAAAAGGGAACAGACTCAATCACGACTTTGAATTTGAAGTTTGAATTTGAAATTATTGTCTTATGAATTGGTTATCACTTATGTAGCCAGTTTTAATGTTTGACTTACTGTGCCTTTGGTAAATAAGTGCTCATAAACATTTTTTTAAAATAAAAATGGTTGGCATACTATATACCGTAGAAATCGGGGTCACCCGATTTCACTATTTGATCGAAACAAGAACGTTGCATTGAAGAGCTAAGGCATTGAGTTCGAGATCGAGGTCGGTATCAGTCGAAGTTAGGGAAGATAGACTTCGAGTAATATCGGGGATAGCTAGGTAACGGAAAGAGTGAGATATCCGTGGTTGGTCGAGGATCGTGGCGTGAATCTCGAAATGAATCAATCCACGGCGGTTAATTAGATGTTAATATGATTTCCTACTATATTTAGAAGTGTACCTTATTTAGGACTTCTCTATTATATAAAGG